TAAAAATTTAAAAATTCAAAATATATTTAATTTATAATCCTATTATTTCAAAATTATATAAAAAATATTTATTTATTTAAAAATATCAGAAAAGGACTTCTAGGTGCCTTAAGACAGTTCTTTTCTTTGATATTAATAAATATTAATTTAAATAAAATTAAATAATAATTTTTTATAATATTTAATTTTAAAATACCAAAATAGGACATCCAGTTGTATTAAGACTGCCATTTTCTTTGATATTGACAAATAAATGTTAAAATAATTTATTAAAAAAATATAATTATTATTTATTATATATATATTTATGACTACATAATAATAATAAAAATATTTAAATATATAAACAAGTAAAATTAAAACAATAAAAATACAATTAAAACTATATATTTAAAAGCAATAAAATAAATGAAAAGATTTAAAATTAGTGACTAAATTATAGTAAAATTAAAATTAAATACCTAATTCATAATTAATCAAAATTATAGGGATTAAACATGTTATTTTTTATTTATTAATTTAGTGACTAAAATAAAATTATATAAAATTCGGATATTAGAATAAAATAAATTAAAACATACTATTCAGATTAAAATATTAATTATTAAAATTATAGGACTAAATCTGCTATTTACCCTAAATATATTATTTTAATACAAAGGACTAAAATAAATAAAATTAAAATAAAAGATCTGAATTAAAAGGATTATAAACTCGATTTAGTGACTAAAATGTAAGGATTACAAATGCAAGGGATGGCGGACAGGATTTAACAATTATTTAATTACATAAATAGCCCTCCCCGAAACGGCGTCGTTCGGGAAGGGCTATTTAAAGCCAAAATCGGCTGGCCCGAAGGGCCAGCTTCATTTCTCATCTCTTCCCTCTCTCTCTTCTCTGAGAGAGAGAAAAATTCTCTCGCTTCTCTCTAAAACAGAGAGAAGCTCTCCGGCCGGCAGCTGCTCGCCGGCGTTGACCCTGTCGTCGGCCACCGCCTTCGGTGGCCGGAATAATTTTTTTTACACTAAAACGTAGATCGGACCGTCCTAATGACGGTTCTGATGGTCTTTTCTTTTAAACGGCTCCCAATCGGAGCAAATCTAAGAAATATACCTTCGGTTTTCGAAGGTTTTTTGTGACGTTTGAAGATGTCCGGTGGTCGTAGCTTCCTCGGTAAGCCTTTCTCCTCCCTTTTCTTTTGTTTTTTTGTTGCTGGTTGTTGTGATTTGGTCTCTATTTTTGTATCTTTGCTCTCGGTTTTTTTGTCTCTCTGGGTCCGTTTTTTTTCTTCTGCAGATGGGGTGATGGCTTTATAGCCATCACCGGTGTGGCCATCGGACCGGGTAAAAGAGTGGAGTCTGGTGAGTCACCGGACTCCCAGTGGTAACTCACCCCATGGCCATAACGTGGACGGCTGGTGTTGGAACTTCTGGAGCCTTCGGTTGGGGCGTGGCAGCGGCTGGAGCAACGTGGAGCGGCGGCAGCTGGTGTAGTCCCTAGGGTATCATAACCCTAGGGTTTCGTCTGGCGTCATATGGACCGTTGGATCAATGCTAGATCCAACGGTGGAGAAGCAAAGCGGCGGCAGCTGAGATATAAACCCTAAATGGGTTTTAGGGTTTTTTGTTTTGTTTGGGCCAGTCTGTTGGGCCTCGATTTGGGTTTTGTAATATTAATAAATAATATATATTAATAATAATAATAATTATAATTATAATAATAATAATAAATTTTAAAATAGAATAAAAAAAATTGATGTATACAGGTGGATTCTATGATTCCTGCAACAACATCAAGTTCACTTTCCTTACAGCTTATTTCATTACCTTGTTGAGCTGGTCAGTCACGAATATCATCAAAAATATGCAGATATCGGCGAGCTCGAGCATATAAAAGATGTTATCAAATGTGGCAGTGATTACTTGCTCAAGGTCTTTGCCCCTCCAGGTGCAAAATCTAACTCCACGGTGTTCTATTCACAGGCAAGCATTTGCATAAATTATTTGCCTCAAAGTACCATCGGTGACAATACTGACATTTGAGACTGTTCTCTGATGTGTTTTTAGGTCGGAAGTGCAGGTAATGACACGAAAAATCTAATCCCCAACGACATAAATTGCTGGAAAAGGCCGGAAGACATGAGCTATGAGAGGCCTGTCTCAGTTTGTAACGAGACAGCTTCTGATTTAGCAGGGGAAATCATTGCAGCACTTTCAGCAGCTTCAATAGTATTCAAACAAGATAATGGATATTCACTAGGATTAGTTAAAACAGCAGAGAAGATATATGAGGTTGCCGAGAAAGCAGACAGGAATTTAATAGGCGTAACTTAAACGACCATTGATGCTTGTGGAGAGGAAGCGAGAAAGTTTTACGACTCGTCCGGGTACAAAGATGAGTTGGTTTGGGGAGGAACTTGGTTGTTCTTTGCTACTGGGAACCACACTTATCTTGACTATGCCACTGCAAACTTTGCTGCAGCAGCTGATAATGAAACAATGGAGGACAAAGGGATTTTCAATTGGAATAATAAGATCACTGCCAATGCGGTAATTTGAGTAGATATGTTTCATGTGGTTTTTGTATTTGGTGCATACATTACAAGGACTCAGACTTATTTTCTCCTTCCATCTGATTTTGTAGGTTTTGTTTACAAGGCTTCGTTTCTTTCTTGATATTTGATTTCCATATGAGAAGGCATTAGGATTAGCCTCCAACACGACTGAACAGCTTATGTGTTCTTATCTTTCAGACAAATACTTCAATACTACGCCTGGTATGTTCATCCGGTCTCATTCCTGCAATTAGCCACAAAACATTGATGTATACTTTGTAGAGGCATTTCATCTAGGGCGGTAAGCTTACCTAGTCGAACTCGAGTATTGTTAAGGTTCACTTGATTTGAAAACTCACGAGCTTAAAATTATCAAGCTCGACTCAAAATAAATAAAAAATTGAAACTCAACTCAACTCGAAAACTCGTGAACTTAAAATCTTCAAGCTTGACTCGAAATCAAAAGTTGAAGCTCGAGCTCGAAAAAATATGAACTCGAAACATTCTCAAACTTAATTCGATTGAAACTATAACGTGAGCTACTCAAACATATAAGCCTTACATTGTAATTTTTTTAAAATATATAAATGTTAAAATTATTAATAATTTAATTTTTTAAAAAATAAAATCTGAATATATTATTTTTTTCAAGTTACTCACGAGATTTACAAGTCGGGTATCAAATAACTTACTTCGACTCATTAAGAATTCAAATTGAGTTCAATATTGAGTCAAGCCCATTTAATTCGAGTATTGACCAAATTTTCACTAAGTCGAACTCAAGTAACTCTCAATCTATCTCTTCTCATTTACAACCTTAATCTAATCATCAATAGTCTTATATGGTTTAATGGTAGGTGGATTGATCCTCTCAAGGCCTGATAATGGTGGAGCACTCCAGTATGCAGGCACGGCATATTTCTTGGGTAAATTATTCAACGATTATCTTACACTTATTCACAGATCCGGTTGGAATTGCAGCGATGGTGGGTTTTCTTTGGAAATGTTACAAAGCTTCTCCACTTCTCAGGCAAGCCTATATCTGTCAACAAGTATGCAAGTACTAATCATGCAATAATGCATCTAAAACAGCAGTCTTTATTGTTTCCTCACTTATACAGATTAATTACATTCTAGGATATAATCCGAGGAAGATGAGCTACATGGTTGGCTTCGGAGATCACTATCCAACAAGAGTTCACCACTGGAGTGCGTCGATTCCTTTGGATGGTCAATATCACTCGTGTACCAAAGGTGGCAGATGGCTGAACTCGCAAGATCCAAACACGAAAACAATTTTGGGACCAATGGTAGCTGGACCAGATCGGTTTGATGATTTCTCCGATGAAAGGGACAAACCATGGTTCACTGAACCAAGCATAGCAAGCAATGCTGGTTTGGTTGCAGCACTCATTGCACATCATGACCCTCCTCAACCATCTTCAGCTTCTAATAGCCCTAATCTAGGCCTGGACTTGATGGGGGTCTTTGAAAAAGTTAACAATCTAGCTAGCCCTAATCCACTTTTGTTTACCAAAATTTACATGGCATGAAAGGGATCAAGGACAAAGCAAACAGCATAATGTTTGAAACTCCTAATATTTGCTACATTTTCAAATTTTAGATGACGGACCTTCAAATGTCCCAAAAAGACATAATGAACATGCACATAAAGAAACATCACAAGTCCAACCAAAGACCATTAGAAATGTCAACTAGAAAAACAGAACAGATAAGCATTTACATATGCAAATAAACATGGAGAAAAAACAAACTCACTTCACCCCAAATAGAAGCTGCAAGATGAGCCCTGATGCAGATCATATGAGAATTCAAATCATCATCACTGCAAATTTGCAACTGAAAATTTAGAAAAAAAAGAAAAAAAGATGTGCATTAGTTCACTATTCGAAAGGCTTAAACATCAACTTTTGCCAAAAGAAAATGGCAAATGGTTAAGTCCATGCAAGATCTCTAGCATAATAGGGGCAAAATCAATTGGGTTATGTTTCTACCAAGTTCTTTCCGTTGTCTCCCATGGAGCATATTCCGAGAAGCTCCTGGTTACACTGACATGAGGGAATAGCAATTCAGTCTAAACAAATAATACCGGTCAAGGCAAAGGGATCGAGCTCCCAATATCCTCTCCAGCAACTATCGTCTCTTGCGTGCTGGAAAGCTGGAATCAGATGAGAAAATCTAGACAATTCAGTCTCCGGAATCTCAATAACACCAGCTGTAGATCTTTGACTTCTTGGAGCCCTATAAAGTGATTTAGGACTGTTTACACATGAGAGAACCATAACTTTTTTGTTCTTTTCATTATCTTCCAACACTTCCACAATGTCGCATTCACCTTTGCCCAAGTTTGAATCTGAAGAGTTCCAGCTCTTGTATAATGCCCAAACCTCCCCCGTTCTAGGGAAAATTTTGAATCTGTTTTTTCCTATGTGCTCAACTCGTACTTGATGCGAGACTTCATTACAGGAGACAAGTTTGGTTTGACCACTTTTAACTTTAAATATCCCACAACAAATAGGAAATTTCAAGTCTTTGGGTCTTGAGCACACCTCCAGCAGAGCCACATGCAATCTGAAATCAGGAGTAGCTTCGATCTTCTTAACTTGGGCGTACTCCTTTGGCATTCCATCCCCGCAATACAATGCCCATATCTGATCAACAGCAAATTTATCCTCGCATTTCTCCCTCTTAAAATCGTAACACTCTAAATTTGAAGCTTTACTTGCAGGAGACATTGTTGTCGAGACACTCGAGGTTTTAGTAACATCAACTGTACCACTAACCCTCTCATGTAAATGCATGTTACCAACAGGCGGATTCAAGGAATCTCCTTCTGTATTACCAAAAATGTCATACTTTTCATTTTTGTTGGAAACTGAATTATTCTTGCCATTTTCTCTAGTGTCATTTTGACTTGCATTTGCTTGACTGCTGCTCAAATCTCTCGGTGACCTATGAAGTTTTAGGCAATCTGTGGTGAGATAATTTTTCTCACACTTTTTCTCGTTGTTCGTCTCATCCACAACATCATTTGAAATAGAACTTCCTTTGGGCTGAGTCAAGTTGCAATCTCTTATTAGCTTCGATACTTTCATCCTCATTACTCGGCTTCATATCACCAGAATCAACCAGCTCAAAAAGGTATGTAGGAAGAGAAGCAGGATCCAACTCAAAAGATCCCACAGGTATATCTTCTCTTTCATTGCCAGTCATTCTTAATGAGGGAACTCGATGTGAAAATCTATAAAGCTCAAATGATGAAATCTGAAACGAGATAACTCCACATTCAGTTTGTCTAAAAATACCGACAAACCCTTTCACTTTACCCAAATGAGCAACCCCAATGCCAACTTCCTTATCAAAATCAGTGAGAACCTCCACAAAATCAAACTGGTACGGTGGCTTATGCTTTTCTGGTTCTGAAGCCCATTTAACATCCCAATCTTTGAAGAGAGCCCAAATTTCCCCTTTCCGAGAATAGACAAAAAAGCATTTACTGGAAAGTTTTATGAGGTCAATCCGATGGGAGAACATCAGACGATCTACACATGCCTCTGATGACCCATTGCGGTACTTGCCACAAGAAACAGGCAGATCCAGATCGACCCAGTTCTGCTGTTTTTCCTCGTCCGGGTCAGGCTCTAGCCAAGTAATTTGTAGCTTGAAACCTGGACGGTACACCTTCTTCACCCGTGCATAAAATCTTGGCATGCCATCCAATGTGTCATATATAGCCCAGACTTGATTAACAGCAAAAATGTTCTCTGACCTGTACTTCTCAAAATCAGTGAACTCAGGATCAGGGTATTCAAGTTCCTGAGGAGATGGATTCACATCTCTACTTGACTCTAAACCACTATCAAACTGGTGTACTTTATTTTTATCAAGTATAACAGTTTCCTCTTCCTTCCCTTTAGAGTCCCCAGTTTTCCTTTTCTTTTTCATGACATCATCTTCAGGTTTGACTTCTTTCTTATATACATCTGCAGCAGTTGTAAAGCCACCGGAATTATCCTTTTTCTTACCTCATCATCCACCTTTCCCTCATTGGCATTGGGTGGTGTCGTTTTCTTAGAATTTTTATATGGGCTTGCAAAATCATCATCATCATCATCTGCCAATTTTTCCTCATAAGAAATGGGTTGTTTTTGCCTTGAAGATCTCCTAAAAGGATGACCTCCATTCAAGTTTGAATTTGCCCTATTTATTATTACCGCAATCTTCCTTACGTGTCACATTTTCAACTTTGATTCCACTGCCAGTTTCACAACTTACATCAGACTCTTCTACGGACTTCCACCCTCTCTTCTTATTGGCATTTCTTGAAGTTCATGATTCCTTCGGCTTTGAGGCAGTGGGCTTATGCTTTTCAACACCTTTCTTTCTATCTCTCATGTTTGAACTCTCATCTACTTTCTGAGCTGTGAACCCCTCCTTAGACTGGTGCATTTTAACCCCTACTTTCTCTTGTTTCTTAGAACAACCAACCTGAGAGCTTCCTGCCTTTGGAATGGGAGCAGACCCGGCAAATATATGTGGGACGTGGACACCAGAAGGCTTAACACTATTGTAATGCGAAGATGAGTTACATGGGACATCATTGGAGAACTGATTCCAAGAGTATCCCTGAGGACCCAAGTCATGGGCAATGAAGATAGATCCACATGAAAGACAACGTAACATCCTGTTCACAAAATCTTTGTCACACTGGAACTTGAAACCACAAGCATTGCAGAGGGTCCAAAATGTTAGATGCTTTGTGTAGAAATCAGAGTAATTCTCATTAATTTTTTATAATTTTCAATATGACAGATTACATATTTATATACAAAATATCTCTCTAAAATAGAAAACTCTAAGAAAGGAAAAATAATAATCCTAGGATATGATCCCTTAAAATAAGGGATTGTAGAAATCTATTTACAAAATCATTTCTCTATAGAAATGGTAACAAATCATATCTCTATAGGAATGGTAACAAATCATCTCTATAATTCCTACACTCCCCCTCAAGCTGGAGAATATACATTGTATAATCCCAGCTTGAATAGGAATTTATTGAAAACAGGCTTTGGCAAAGCCTTAGTAAGAATGTCTGCAACTTGTTATTCTGAAAGAATGTATGAAAGTGTGGCTGTGTTTTTGTTAACTTGATCAGCAATAGAATGCCTATCAATCTCAACATGCTTTGTCCGATCATGTTGAACTGGGTTCTTGGCAATTTGAATAGCAGATTGATTATCACACAAAACTTCAAAGTGATCCTCTTGATTAGTGACAAGTTCTTTCAGTAGTTTAAGTAGCCAAATTCCTTCGCATATTCCCAATGCTAGTGCTCTAAATTCAGCTTCAACACTACTTCTTGAAACGACAGATTGTTTCTTACTTCTCCAAGTTGGAAGGTTTCTCCAAACAAAGGTGTAGTAGCCATTAGTGGATCTCCTTTCAGTAAGGTCTCCGACCCAACTAGAATCTGTAAAGATCTTAATAGTTCTGTCTTGTGTCTTCTTAAACATTAAACCGTGTCTTGGAGTTTTCTTCAAGTACTTGAGAATTCTATTTGCTGCTGCTGCCATATGCTCTTTAGTAGGATTAGTCATGTGTTGACTTATCACATTTACAGGAAATGCTATATCTGGCCTTGTCAAGGATAAATAAATTAGTTTCCCAACTAATCTTTGAAATTTCTCTTTGTCTACCAATGACTCATCTTCTTTGTTAAATTTCAAGCTTGCCTCCATTGGTGTATCAATCAACTTACAACCAAGAAAACCAGTTTCTTTGAGTGAATCAAGTACATATTTTCTTTGGTTGATCACAAGTCCTTCTTTTGACCTTGCCACCTCCATTCCTAGGAAATACCTTAGCTTTCCCAAGTCCTTGGTTTCGAATTCCTTATTTAACAACTTCTTAAAATTGCAAATCTCTTCTTCATCATCTCCGGTAAGAATTATGTCGTCCACGTACACAATAAGGATAGCTTTCTTATTTGTAGAAGTTACCTTGATAAAAAGAGTGTGATCGGCGAGGGATTGCTTGTAGCCGTTTTTTAGGATGACTTTAGTGAACCTCTCGAACCAAGCTCTGGGTGATTGTTTTAACCCGTATAGAGACTTATTGAGTTTGCACACCTTGTTGCTTCCTTCAACAGACTTTAAGCCAGGTGGCAACTTCATATAGACTTCTTCTTCTAGCTTGCCATTAAGAAAAGCGTTTTTACATCAAGTTGGTGTAATTTCCAATCGCAATTTACAGCCAAACTTAGGAGTACTCGAACAGTATTCAGCTTCGCCACATGTACAAAAGTTTCTGTGAAATCTATCACATATGTTTGTGTAAAGCCTCTGGCCACTAGTCTCGCTTTGTATCGTTGGATGCTACCATTTGAGTTATACTTTACAGTAAATATCCATTTACAGCCAACAACCTTTTTTCCTTGAGGAAGGTCCGTAACAGTCCAAGTAGCATTTTTCTCCAGTGCACAAACTTCCTCTTCAACAGCCCTTCTCCATTTTGAATCCTTTAGAGCTTCAGCTATGCTTGTGGGAACTTGTTCTTTATCCAAGTTTGCTATAAATGCTTGAAAAGACGGCATCAATGAATTATAACCAGCAAATTTTTCAATAGGATGCTTGGTGCACTGTCTAACCCCTTTTCTAATAGCAATAGTGAAGTCATCTAGAGTAAGGGAAGTGGACTTACTGATTTCTTCTTCTATTTTGGCAACTGGACCCAAATCCAATTCTAGACAAGCATCAGATTGCAAAACAACCTCAGAAATATATTTACTTTTCCTTGTATAGAAACGGAGTTGTTTGATTGGTGTTGTTTGTGGAATATTTTGAATTGGAGTATGTGTATTTTCAAGAAGGGTATTTAAAGTGGGTATGGGTGAAGTAGTGATAGGTACTACCGGTGGATCAATGGGAGAAGTTACAGGTGACAAATCTGTAGGTAAGGACAAAATTGGTGGCAATTCTGAAGGTTGAGAATGAAGAGTATGAGGAGATACCTGATGTGGCTGAAAATCCTTCCATGTCTCCCCATAAATTTCAGCCTGAGTGAAATAGAGATCATGCTCATAAAATGTTATATCCATAGTGGTAAAAAATCGTTTTGAAGGAGGAGGATAGCATTTATAATCCTTCTTAAGTGAAGAATACCCAACCAGTACACACTTTAATGATTTAGGATCTAACTTAGACTTATTAGGAGCAATGTTTTGGATAAAAACAGTACAACCAAATATTTTAAGTGGAAGAATGGAGGAGATAGGTTTAAAATGGGGAATGTATTACAAAAATATAGATTGAGGTGTTTGAAATTGTAAAACCTTACTAGGCATTCGATTGATTAAATATGTGGCAGTTAATAAGGCTTCCCCCACAAATATTTTGGAACATTAGTGGTAAATAGAAGAGAACGAGTAATTTCAAGGAGGTGTCTATTTTTTCTTTCAGCAATACCGTTTTGTTGTGGGGTGTCAACACAAGAACTAATCTGAACTATGCCATTTTCCCTAAAAATGCACCCAAAGACTTAGCAAAAAATTCACTACCATTATCAGATTTAAAGAGCTGAATTTTAGACCCAAATTGAGTGAGAACCATGTTATAAAATTGGGTAAAAACACCTGCAGTTTAAGATTTATCTTTTAACAAATAAGTCCAAGTTATCCTACTGTGATCATCAATGAAAGTGATAAACCACTTATAATTATCAGCATTCTTCACCCGAGAATGACCCCAAATATCACTATGGATCAAAGCAAAAGGGTGAGAAGGCTTATATGTAGAAAGAGAATAAGTTGATTTAGTATGTTTGGCAAGAGAGCAAACTTTGCAAGAAAAAGAATTTGGCCTTTTATGAATGAATAGAGCAGGAAAAACTTTTATAAGATAGTGAAAACTAGGATGACCAAAACGATAGTGCCATAACATAACATTATCAACTTTTTCTAAAGCGGTGAAAGATTTCGAGATTTCGGTTTTAGTAGAGGCGGGAAGAATGTAGAGACCATTCTACAAGCTGGCCTTACCAATCATCTTCTTCGAGTTCAGTGCCTGCAAAGTACAATCAATATCATTAAAAATTGTAGAGCAGTGCAAGTCGGTGGAAAGTTTACTAACGGAAACGAGATTGCAAGCCAGATTTAGTACGAAGAGGACATTTTTAAGTACAATCTGGTCATTGAGAAAAATAGTTCCATGTCCTTCTATTTTACACAAAGAACCATCAGCCGTTTTGACAACTTTACCAAAGTTTAAAAAAAAAATTGCAAAATAAATCTTTATTACCAATCATATGATCCGTAGTACCAGAATCGAGGATCCAATTAGGGGACGACTGGGAGGAGAAAAAAACTATAGCACGAAGTTTACCTTCTGATTCTTTCATGACCAGATTACCTTCTGATTGAGCAACAAAATCAGAAAAATTTTCTAGATTTGAAGTGATCTTCAGAGTAGGAGAAGAAATTGTGGACATCATCTATGTTGGAAAGAAACCGTAACCTAAGCTGATACCATATAGAAATCAGAGTAATTCTCTGTACATTTTTATACTTTTCAATATGACAGATTACATATTTATATACAAAATATCTCTCTAAAATAGGAAACTCTAAGAAAGGAAAAAATAATAATCCTAGGATATGATCCCTTAAAATAAGGGATTGTAGAAATCTATTTACAAAATCATATCTCTATAGGAATGGTAACAAAATCATATCTCTATAGGAATGATAACAAATCATCTCTATAATTCCTACACTTTGCTTGCTGATAGACGTTCGAAGCTGTGAAATTTGAAGAACAATTCTTGTAGTTGTTAGAAAAACCAGACTTACTATACAGTGGATGCCTTATTCGATGGGTGAGATGTTGGCTTTGGTATAGTTTTCACTGAGGCTCTACACTTCAAATCATATTGATAACGTGCCATTT